CAGCGAGACCTCATCTCTACAATAAATCAAAAAAATCAGCCGGGTGTGGTAGCGCATACCTGTAATTCCGGCTACTCAGAAGGCTGAGGCGTAAGGATCGCCCGGAGCCCAGCAGGTTGAGGCTGCGGTGGCCGGGAGCAGCCACTGCACTCCAGTCTGGACGACAGAGTGAGACTCCAACTCAAAAAAAGATGTTTAGACTAGCAGACAGAAACAGAACTAAAGCAATAGTTCACTACATCACAATCTGAGTTTCTGATGTAGTAATTAGCATAAGAAACTGAAATTAAGCGGGTTTGAGACCCGCCTGGGCAACTTGGTAAGACCTCATCTCTACAACAAATCAAAAAATTAGCCGGTCGTGGCAGCACGTGCCTGTAGTTCCAGCTACTGGGAAGGCTGAGGCGGAAGGATCACTGGAGCCCAGCAGGTCGAGGCTGCGGTGGCTGGGAGCGGCCACTGCACTCCAATCTGGGAGATAGAGTGAGACTCCAACTCAAAAAAACAAAAACAAAAACAAACAACAACAACAACAAATAAACTGAAATTAAATAAGTAGACTCTTGAAGCATCTCTAGGAAATCTAAAGAAAGAATTAATGATATTCATTTCCCTATGATTCACTGCAAAGATGTTTCTACATAAATATAATGCAGCAATATTAACTTATACACAATTATATACAATATATACACAATTATTTACAATAATTTTCTAATTTTAATTTTCTCCATAACAATGATTTAGTTAGACACTGGGAAATTCATTATGTTACATCTTTAATGTAATAGTCCAATCACAAAATTTAAAATTATGGTGGAAGCTATCATTCAACGCCTCACCCCAATTGCATTTTACCAACTTCGGCGTGATGTTTCATGCCTACAAGCTAGATAACAATTCCTCAAACGTCTAGTCATCACCGCAGAGCACAAAATAAAACAAGCGTTATCAACAAAACGGTAACTTGCATACAACCTGCAGTGGTTAAAACAACGTAAAATTCTCCTTAACCAGATCTTGCACGTCAAACTCCAAGAACAATAAACCTGGAAACATTCTCTGCATCTAACAAATTAGCAGATAAAGCAGAGATCTGTGAAGAGAAGGAACTAACGTTCTGACCTCCTTCCGAAATGACAAACTAGAACGGCAAAATTACACTCCGGCACATGGAGTACTCTTCTCTCAAATCACTCCACAGAGAACTTCATCATTTGCTCCGCCCTCTAATAACTCATGCAAAAAAAGTTCAGCACCATCAGAGAGAAACAAGACACAGACAATTCATAGAATGGCTTAGGGCCTTTCCTCCGGGCGGTAAAAGGATCTGCGGGTGCTCTCCGCAGGGTCCAAAGAGAAAGAAGAACCCAGGCCCAGGGTTTGGGGGATCCTGACACCCAGAAACAGATTTTCTCAGAAGTTTCTGCCGCCATCCCTGTTTTCTCAGCAGAAGGCCCCGGCGCCATCGTTTCAGTCTTTAGGATTTTATTATGGGGAGGTGGGAAACGCCACCCCGGATTCCTCCAGGCCTTCCCCACTAAGCCTGGGGGTTCCCCCTCATTCCTCTAAGCCTCGGTCCCCGTGGAACTCCCCAGCTTCGGGCGGCCTCTCCCCCGGGATGGGTCAAGGCGATGCCGAACCCACCAGCCTCGCCGTGAAGGCGGGAGGGCCGGAACACGCCAGGGCCAAGGCGATGGCTCCGAGGGGCCCGGGGAGGGGCAGGGCAGGCCAGGGACGGGGGAGGATGACCTGGCCGGGGAAGAAAGGAAACAAGAGGTGAGGCGATACCCCGCACCCCGGGGCGGCACGGAGAAGAGGAGAAGAGGATGAAGGAGGAGCAGGGCGGCGGCCCGGGTGCGGCCCCCCACTCCTCCCGCCCCCAGGTCTCCGGGCCGGCGGGGGCGGACGGGCTCGGCCCATTTCCCGGGTCTGGTCTGGCAGGGGGTGGGGGGGGTCTCCCTCCAAACGACGAGGAGACCGAGAACAGGGGCCTCCGGAGAGCGGTGGGGGGGCTGTCTCCCGCCTGAACCTGGAGACCCCGACGCCGTCGTCGCCTCCTGCTCAGGAGGGAGGACGGGAGTTGTGCGTAAAGCCCGAGGGAGGAATGCATGAAGGGAAAGGGAAGCCCGGGGCAGACCCGCCGCCCGCGCCGGACCCCGCTCTCCACCTTCCGGTAACCGCGTCTCTTACCGGTGATGGCGGTGAACTGCTGAATTAACCCCTTCAGCGCCGACGACGCCGCGGAGCCCCCGTGGGCAGCCATCTTACCGCCGCCGCCGCCGCCGAACAACAACACAGACACACACGGACCGCCCTCCCCCACCTCGCCGCGCGGTTTGCGCAGGCTCATTGACCGGCCCCAGGCTCCGCCCCCCGCCCCCCGCCCGGAGCGGTCCGCGCAGGCGCACTCCCTCGCCGGTCTGGCGCGCTCTCGGTTCTCCGGGTTGGCTGCTAGGTGGCTACCTTCTCGCCGCATCCCTTTCCCGCCGCTGGTGCTTTCCTCTCCGGGCTCCTAGGCTGGCCTCGTAGACGCGGTGTCGAGTCGTTGCTTCCGAAGGTTCTTCGCATTTCCAGCTTCACAGGCTTCGTTGACAAACCCAGCTGCTGGTGACAGTATTTTTTTTTCTTTTTTGCCGCTCCATCGCACTCTGCTAGATTTCCTACGTGTCTGATCAAAATACAGATCCCGCTCCGCGACCGCTACACTGATGGCTTAGCTAACCTAGTGTGGCGACCCACCCAGCAGAAGAGAAATTCCCAGAACCCTTCGTGCCAAAGAACGCCCTGGGGGCGGGATCTGACACACAGTAGGATTTCAATGCGTTTGTCAGCCTGTCTCCTCTCAGGGTCTTAGTTTTCTCACCTATAAAATGAGCAGGTGTCACTTATGGAAAAAGAAAATGTGCCTATGTATATGCAGTACAGGAAAGAAAAGGTATATAAAGGACACTGGAAAAGTGTCCTCAGATCTCTAGAGGAGAGTGATACAGACAATAGAGAAAGGAGACTTTGAGGTTTTTTTTTTTTTATCTTTTCAACAAAGATGATTTAATTACGTTACTTGCATAACTTTACATATGCATGCACTCAAATATGATTCCCCCCCACCTTGACAATAAGTTAAAGAGATGTCATGCAGGGCACGGTGGCTCATACCTGTAATCCTAGCACTTGGGGATGCGGAGACGACAGGATTGCCTGAATCTAGTTGTTTGAACCAGATGGGCAAGTTGGCGAGACCTCGTCTCTCCAATAAATCAAAAAATTAACCTGGTGTGGTGTCGCTTGCCTGTGGTTCCAGCTACATGGAAGGCTAAGGCGGAAGGATCGCTGGAGGCCAGCAGGTCGAGGCTGCGGTGGGTGGCCATAAGTACGCCACTGCACTCCAGCCTGGAGGACAGAGTGAGACTGCAACTCAAAAAAAAAAAGATGCCATTTATGTTTCCGTCTCCCATCCATCACTCACATATTTTGCATCTTCATAGGAAAATGGCCCAGTAAAAGATGAGATAAGGACAGGCACCGGGGCTCACATCTGTAATTCAAGTATTTTGGAAGGCCAACGTGGAAGGATTGCTTGAGCCCAGGTGTTTGCAACCAACCTGGACAACATAGAGAGACTTCGTCTCTACAAAAATTTAAAAAACTATGCCGGGCGCCGTGGCTCACACCTATAATCCCAGCATTTTGGGAGGCTGAGATGAGAGGATTGCCTGAGCCCCCGGGTTCGAGACCCGCCTGGGCAACTTGTGAGACCTCATCTCTATAATAAATCAAAATATTAGCTAGGCATGGTGGCGCGTGCCTGTAGTTCCAGCTACTTGCAAGGCTGAGGCTTAAGGATCGCCTGACCCCAGCAGGTTGAGGCTGTGGTGGCCGGCCATGATCATAAAATAAAATAAAATAAAAAATTGCCAGGCTCGGTGGCTCAGCCTGTAATCCCGCGCCTTTGGAGGCTGAGGTGAGTGGATTTCCTGAGCCCGCGGGTTCGAGACCCGCCTGGGCAGCGAGACCTCATCTCTACAATAAATCAAAAAATCAGCCGGGCGTGGTAGCGCATGCCTGTAATTCCAGCTACTCGGAAGGCTGAGGCGGAAGGATCGCCGGAGCCCAGCAGGTGGAGGCTGCGGTGGCCGGAAGCAGCCACTGCACTCCAGTCTGGGCGACCGAGTGAGACTCCAACTCAAAAAAAAAAAAAAAGAGTAAAAAATAAAAAATTAGCTGGGCGTGTAGTCCTAGCTACCAGGGAGGCTGAAGCGGAAGGATCACAAGAGCCCAGAAGGTTGAGGCTGCAGTGAGCCGTAATTGTGCCACTGCACTCCAGGGCATGTGACAGAGTGAAATACTACTCAGAAAGAGAGAAACAGAGTAGAAGGGAGGGAGGGTAGAAATTAATAATGTGACCTTGCAAAGCTTATTGGGACTGGCTCAGTGGCTCACGCCTATAATCCCAGCACTTTGGGAGGCCAAGGTGAGAGGATTGCCTGAGCCCAGGGGTTGGAGAGCAACCTGGGTAACATGAGACCTCATCTCTACAATAAATCAAAAACAGCCGGGTGTGGTGGTGTGCGCCTGTAGTTCCATCTATTCGGTACTACAGAATAGAGACTGAGGCAGAGGGACCGCCTGAGCCCAGCAAGTCAAGGCTGCAGTGGCCATGAGCGTGTCACTGCACTCTAGCCTAGGTGACAGAGCAAGACTACAACTCAAAAAAAAAAATTAAATTAAATTGAAGCAAATCCTATAATCATGAAAAATGTGTTTTTTTAAAAGCATGAATTAGCTGGGTACGTTGGTTCACACCTGTAATACCAGTAATCCCAGCACTTTGAGAGTTGGAGGCAAGAGGATGGCCTGAGCCTGGGGGTTCAAGACCAACCTGCATAACATGGCGAGACCTCATCACAACAATAAGTCAAAAAATTAGCTGGGCGTAGTGGCACATGCCTGTAGTTCCAACTATGTGGAAGGCTGAGGGAAAAGGATCACCTGAACCTAGCAAGTCAAGGCTGCAGTGGCCATGAGCAGCGTGCCACTGCCCTCCATCCTGGGCGACAGAGTGAGACTCTGACTCAAAAAAAAAAATTAAAAAAATAAATTATCCTCAGTAAAGAAATAAAACTACAAATAACTATATATAAAATAATTCAAAATTGAAGTTTTGGATGATATAGGGTAAATAGCTCAAACCTAAACATCAGGTACTATTTGAATTATTATACCAGATTAAACTATAATTTTTTTTTGAGTTGGAGTCTCACTCTGTCGCCCAGGATGGAGGGCAGTAGCACACTCACAGCCACTGCAGCCTCGACCTGCTGGGCTCAGGAGATCCTTCCGCCTCAGCCTTTCAAGTAGTTAGAACTACAGGCACATGCCACCATGCCCGGCTAATTTTTTGGTGTACTGTAGAGATGAGGTCTCGCCAAGTTGTCCAGGCTGGTCTGGAACCAGTAGGCTCAGGCAATTCTCTCACCACAGCCTCTCAAAGCGCTGGGATTATAGGCGTGAGCCATAGCAGCCAGCCTAATTTTTTTTTAAGTAATCGGAGTTTCGCTCTCTTGCCCAGTCTGGAGTGCAGTCGCACAATCACACACAGCTTACTGCAGACTTGAACTCCTAGGCAGAAGGAGTTCACCACCATACTTCACTAATCTTTTATTTTTTGTAGAGATAAAGTCTTACTATGTTGCCTAGGCTGATGTCAAACTCCTAGGCTCAAGCAATTCTCCCACCCTAGCCCCCCCAAAATGCTGGGATTATAGACATGAGCCACTGTACCCAGCCCAGGATTTTGTTTTGAATGGTTTTAATGCTATTCAGGAGGGATAAAGTCACTCTATGCATTTTTTCTTTGTCTGTCTAACTATGGCATAGTATATTTTTATAACAACCTAGATGTTACTTTGTTATTGTTGTTTTCTTTTTTTTTTTTTTTTTT